GGTTGCGAAGGGTTTCACTCAAACTCCCGGAGTTGACTATGATGAGACCTTCTCACCAGTTGCGAAGATAAAATCTATTAGAGTGATGCTGGCAATTGCTGCATTTCATGATTATGAGATTTGGCAAATGGATGTCAAAACCGCTTTCCTTAATGGAAAGTTGGCTGAGGATGTTTACATGGCTCAGCCAGAGGGTTTTGTCGATCCGAAGCATCCGAATAGAGTGTGTAAGCTTGAAAAGTCCATTTATGCACTACTAGAAAAAAGACCTTTAATGACGCGCTTTTTACGACACGCGATAATTAACGATACGCAAAAGGACGTGCCCTTAAAATAGTGTCATCTCTCCAAAAAATTTAAGGATTTACGTCACGCTTTATTGCGTACCCTTAATTTGGTGTCTCAAGAAAAAAAATTAAAAACACGGAGGGCGCTTTATCTTAAACACGCGTCGTCTGTACCTGTCGCTTTATAATTTTAATGAAACGCGCTTTTAGTAGACAAGGGGGGAAATGAAATCCCCAAAATTTTGAAAACCCGCCTTTTTTTTCTATCTTCTATCTATCTTTCATCTTCAACCTAACAAGGACGAGCATTGCACTCTTGATTTCCCTAACTCTTTCTCATTTTCTGATTCAAACTTGAAAGAATCGAAAAAAAAATCTATCAATTTTGAAGCCTAAAAAAATCTAACAAGGACGAGTATCCATCGATCCGACTTCCAAAAATAGAGGGCATTGATTCCACGTCTTTCGGGGTTGGGAGGAAGGAAAAACTGTTGGTCCCGTGTGATCTAATTGGTAGAGGGCATCGATTCCCTAACTCTTTCTCATTTTCTCCACCATCGCTGCTTTCGCTAATATCCACTCCGACCTCTTATGAACGCAAATGGTAAAGATCTGCTTCGATTTCCCGATTGGTCTTCATCGACGGTGGTGGTGAGTCGGAGGTGCCATGTTGATGTGATTATTACAATCGATTGCAGAAAATGAGAAGATTTAGGGTTTTTTCTTGGTCCAGTGGAATACTTTCAGGTTTCGTCTCGACTCCTTTTATTTTATTTTCTTTCTTTTCCTTTCCTTCTGCCATCTGCTTCCTTTCCCCACCTCTTCTTTCTTATTTGGATTCTCCAGGCGATATGCTACTGTGGCGATTCAGTCGGTGGCGGGTCAGCCTCAATTTCATAACATTTTAAGGGATTGCTGTTGGTGTTCATCGACGGTCGTGGTGGGTCGGAGGTGCCATGGTGATGTGAAGAAATAGAGAAAAAGGAATATAGTCATCACTTGCTGATACCGACGACGATCCGTTTTCTGCATTAGCCAGATTGAATGACTTCAAAGGAGGTTCGTATTTCTTTTGTATGTTTTTTTATCCCAATCAATGAATGGATTTTTTCCCCTGTATACGTTGGGCATCTTTCTTTTTTTTTTATCCCAATCAATGAATGGATTTTTTCCCCTGTATGTTGGTTTTACAAGTGCAAGTATATTAATCTACTAATAATCCCAACTTGACATGAAGTTGATAAGTAACAAGTAAGAATAAATTGTGTTTCAGTGAGTTTGTGTTCGACCCAATTAAATGGCAGCGGAAGCAAATGAACGAGGACTTCCTTGACCTATCAAAGATGTTCAATGCAGTTAAATCGCTTGTTCGAGTGCCTTCTGTAGACCCCAAATATAAAATTGCTCTTCTTGCTTCTAAGCAGGTTCTTCTTCTTCTTTCTAGAAAAAATTGTTAGTGAAAACCAAAAATAGTATTACATTAGTAAGGAGGTTGCTGGTGCAGGACCATTGTCTTGTTGATCTACTGCATGCTTGGCAAGATGGAAAACTTCCGGTTCAGATAAGCTCTGTAATCAGGTAAAGCATGGAACTTTTTTTTTATTTGTTATCTTTGACCAGTAAATGATGTGTATAATATGTCTGTATTTTGAACAATCATGATAGGGTGGGGAATACCCATGTGATGCGGTTCCTTGAAAGACATGAGATTCCATATCATTATCTGTCCAAGTCAAAGGAGAAGAATGTAGAAGATGAGATATTGGGGTTGGTTGAAGATACAGATTTCTTGGTCCTTGCTAGATACATGCAGGTAAATGTTTTTCTAGTAGTAGTATAGCAGCAGGATTGGGAAAAAGGTCTTATTTGTTTATTTACCCAGGACAGGTGTTGTCTGGAAACTTTTTGAAAAGATATGGGAAGGATGTGATCAACATACATCATGGCTTATTGCCATCATTCAAGGGAGGAAATCCATCTAGGCAGGCAGGTTCTGTGTTCCAATTTCCAAATTCTGTTTTAAGCTTTTTATGTTTTTATGTTTTTTACTGGAGAATGACAGGCTTTTGAAGCTGGGGTCAATTTGATTGGTGCCAAACCCATTTTGTCACGGAGGAGCTTGATGGGGGCCCAATCATTGAGCAGATGGTAATCAAAGAGTTTTAAGTTTCTCAGTATCAGTAGTATGCAGTATATATATGCTAAGGTGAAAAGTCAAATAGTTTCTGTTTGGGTTTGCAGGTTGAGAGAGTCTCGCACAAGGATAATTTGCTGAGTTTTATTCAGAAATCTGAGAATCTTGAAAAACAATGCCTTATGAAGGCAATCAAGTCATATTGTGAGTTACGCGTTCTACCTTATCAACACAACAGGACTGTTGTATTTTGAGTAAGCTCAAAATGATGCTGATCAAAACTACAGAGTCCATTATATTCCTTGTGTTGCAAAGTTTTTGTATTTCATTTTAATTATTCATTCTAATTTAAGTTGTTCTTGTTCCAATCCAAGATTTTTTGTTATTCCCTTCTTGGAATCGATAAAAAACCATCACTATCTCTAGTGGTGGCCATTACTCTGCTTCTGTGAAAACTGTAAAATGTGCAAAACCAAAAACATGAATTTTCGGAATTTATTTTTTTATCAGGTTGTGAGCTCTGTAAAATGCCTAGAGGATGAATTAGAACCTAACTCTTCTATATATGTCTAATGTCTTAACCTTTACCACAAAAGATGAAGAAGATACCAAATACAATAAGATTAAAGACGCTTTTCTTACAAGACCAAGTTGAAAAGCAAAGGAACTGTTCTTTTTACAGCAAAGCAAATAAATTTTGTAGTTTGATACTTTAAAAAAGTTGAAAGGTTACACGGTTAAGATGGAAACGAAACATAATTTTCACAACACATGGAAATCAACACAGGTCAGCCTAATGAAAACTTAAGTAGTGGTTTGGTTTGGTATGAAAAAAATGGAATTGCTGATGGAAATCATTGTTAACCTCACTAATCAGCAATTCAAAATCAATATTACTAAATACTAATCTAATGGTATATAAAATTTTCATGTTGCATAAGAATCATGATACACAATAAAAATCATAATACTTAAAACAAACTATTACATTTGAAAAGTCTTGCTGTTACTAGGAGGAGTCTTGAATTGGGGAAAATGGAAAGAAGGAAGGAAAGAAGGAGAGGTTACAGATAGACTTAAAGAAAGAAAGACTTAAAGATCAATAACACGAGAGAGATTCTGAATACGATTGAGCAAGAAATCCCCTTGCTTAATAGTCGCTTGATACAGAGCATTCTTTGCATCTGGGCGGTTGGAAGGGTAAAAAACTGCCAACATTCTTGCAGTAATGGCATCTGCAGCTGCTGCATCAGGTGATGATAGGCGTGTCCATTTCTCTTTCTAATTATACCATCTGTTTTTTCTTGATAATCCGTACTCAGTTTGGTCCATAGTGATTTCTCTTTGATCAGCCCAAATATCCTTGATTGATAACTTTTTCATAAAATTTCTCAAACATGCACAGGATGATGATGATGATGATGATGACGTTTCTCACGAGAAGGATATTTATCTCCAATTTGGTGTAGTATTAAGTGATGTATCTGCTTTTTTTGTTGATGGTGACTATCATTGGAGTCAACGTTCGTTGACAGGAGGATTTGGCGGTTCTTCGCAGTCTAGTATCGTTAGTTTCTTGCCTATTATTGATAAGTGTGGTGTGACTTGTAAGCTTCAACAGGTATATTCATTTCAAGTTTGAAACATGATTATTATAATTATATGTTGTCAGTTGATAACACTTCATCTCTCCATCTAGATCCAATCAGAGAATCCATCTTTCCCCACAACAAGATTGGTCGTGCGGCTTCCTTTCCTTGGATTTCAGTTTCCCCCTGCGCGTTATCATTGACTGATGCAAGTTGCAAAGATCTTTCAGGGAGAGGATAATGATAACGAAGGTCTTGTCCGCCCTTGGGATCAAGCTGACTTTGAGGGTTGGTTAGATGTTCTTAATTGGAAGCTTAGTTTGATTCCTAGAACCACTCATGCTTTCATCCAATCCAATCAGCATTGTGATTTCTTAAACTTTTGGAATTTTTTGTTTATCGTTATTTTGGTGTAGGGTGTGGGAAATAGGGAAGCTATTTGGCAGAGGAGATATTTCTTAATCAGAAAGGGCCAACTTCAGGAAGATCACCTTATCAACCAAGTCTTTTCAAGATTTTGTGAAATTAGGCATAACCACAGACAAGATCAGAAACCTACTGATTTTGGTGAGTTTTTATTACAATTCAATTAATTTATTCACATAATTTTGATCATTTTTTTATTTTAATTTGTATATCAGAGCTTGAAATGATGAAAGAAAGATTTTCAAATCTTTTTGTGGGGGAGGATATTTTCGATAGTAGGGACAAAATTTACTACATTTATATAAGAAGCTTATGGCTTGATCATATCAGAAAAAGAGGAAGCAGATGAAATTCAAGGTACTTTTCATCAATCATTTTACTGTTTGACTAAGTTTTTTTTAACCTGAACTCTCATTGTTCATCATTTTAACTTATCTTTTATTTGATTTCATAATGCATCACTGTGTCTTTAATTCTTATCTGGTTGGCTTGGTGTATAGATGCTTCATGAAGGATTATTCATTGGTATGGATAGTATGATCTTTTCCTTCATGTATATATAGATTGTAGAATAACTTTTTTAATGTTTTGCAGCCTGACATTGTTACCGGTGATATTAATTTGTAATTTTTTAATTAAAATGAATTATTTGTATTTGACATATTAGTGAAATGAATTATCTTTGTTGTTTATGGTATTTTATTTGTATGACATTAAATTTTATGAAATGGATTATATTTTTTGTATATGATATTTTATTTTATATTGTGAGGCATTAAATGCAAATTTAATTTGAAAATTAGTAAATCTATAAAAAATAAATTTTTTTTAACATTTAAAATTATGATACGCAAACATGCGTGTCATCTTCATTTATGACATGGCCTTTCTTGACAGAGGCTTTCTTGATACGCATTGCGTGTCATTAACACGCGCGTCGTAAGGTTACGACACGCGAATGCGTATCGTCTTCCTTTATGACAGGGCCTTCCTTGATACGCATTGCGTGTCGTAACTGCGCGTCGTAAATGCGCGTCGTAAATGCGCGTCGTCTATAGACGACGCGCAAAAGCGCGTCGTCTCTCTTTATGACAAGGCCTTCCTTGACACGCATTTGCGCGTCGTCTGAGCGTTTTACGACGCGCAATGAGCGTCGTAAAAGGCCTTTTTTCTAGTAGTGATGGACTTAAGCAAGCATCTCGCAGATGGAATCTTTGCTTCGATGAGAAAGTCAAAGAGTTTGGATTTGTACGAAGTGAAGATGAATCATGTGTATATGTCAAAGCCAGTGGGAGTATAGTTAGCTTTCTCGTTTTGTATGTCGATGACATACTACTCATAGGAAACGACATCCCGACACTGCAGGACATTAAGTCCTGGCTCGGGAAGTGCTTCGCTATGAAGGACCTCGGAGAGGCTTCCTATATTCTAGGAATAAGGATAGTGAGAGAATGAAGTAATAGACTAATAGGACTTAGTCAGAACACTTACTTAGATAAGGTACTAAAACGTTTTAGTATGGAAAACTCGAAGAAGGGAGAATTACCGATACAATATAATGCCAAGTTGAGTAAGACTCAAAGTCCGAGTACCGAAGCCGAAATAGCAGAAATGAGCCGAGTACCATACGCTTCCGTAGTTGGCTCAATCATGTATGCTATGACTTGTACTCGCCCTGACGTAGCCTTTGCTTTGAGCGTGGTTAGTAGATATCAAGGGAACCCTGGCAGAGTCCATTGGATTGCGGTGAAGAATATCCTTAAGTACCTTCGGAGGACCAAGCAATGGTTTTTAGTCCTCGGAGGGAGTGATGACTTGAAGGTGCGAGGGTACAGTGACGCCAGCTTTCAGACCGACAGGGACAACTACCGTTCGCAGTCGGGCTGGGTCTTTACCCTGAATGGAGGAGCAGTAACTTGGAAAAGTTCCAAACAAGAGACCGTAGCTGATTTAACGTGCGAATCAGAGTACATCGCAGCGAGTGAAGCGTCGAAAGAGGCAATATGGTTAAAGAACTTCATTGGTGATTTTGGAGTTGTACCTACCATAAAGGAGCCCATGGAGATTTTCTGTGATAATGAAGGAGCGGTTGCCTTGACCAAGGAAGCAAGGGATCATGGTAGATCTCGACATATCGATAGAAAATATAATTTTATAAGACATTGTGTAGAAGAAGGACAACTTGTGGTGAAGAGGATATCATTAGAAGATAACCCAGCAGATTCGCTTACGAAGGGACTGAGGAGGGTTAAGCACTTGCAGCATGCTAGGAGCATTAGGCTGAAGGATGATATTAGTATAGATTAGATAGTATTAGAAACGTATAATAGATAAATGTAATTAAAATTTGATGATTAAATATAGGAGTATTATTTATGAGTAATGTTACTGTCTTATGTTAATTGTTTAACTATTTTTTCACTTTGCATGTTTTGACTTCCAGAATAATTGAGTTTATTAAGAATAATCGAATTATTCGAATTGTCCACAATCATTCATATGTTGGAAGTAGGTATGAATGAAGATTGTCATGAATTGGTGTGTAGATTGTCTAAATGGTATTAGACATAGCAAAAGTTTGCTGCAACGTTCATGAGTGCTTATGAACTAGTTTTGAGCATTGGACCAAACCCTTGCTTGCTAGAATCACCTTATGGAATATGACAAAAAAGGGATGATCGCAAGACGATAATATCATATGGTCTTAAAACCTAGATATATGGTTTATTATTTGTTAACTGGTTGTACATTGATGGTGCGAAACCGCATCAGTAACTTGATGTTATAAAACGCATTGTTGTGTATAGTTGATTAATGAATAAGTAAATGCATATAAGTCAAAGTTTATCTGTTACTTTTATCCTAAGAAGGTAAAAGCGATATCTCGGCCGCTCGATGATTTGATTTGACTTATGTGCCGGTCCCGTTTAGAACTGAATTGATGTGTTCGATTAAGTTCTATGTCAAAGAAATTTGAAATTGAGAAACCAAATGCTAGACAATTGGTTCCATTTGAATGTCTGCATGATATCTATACAGAGGACTATACGATCCCTTATCTAAAGGACAAGATTGATTAGATCAGAGTTTGACAGCATCTTTGAGAGCTACGATTGCTAATCGGTG